GTTCTCATGAAAGGCCCTTTATCTCTTAACACCTCAAGTCCCAGGTGCCAGGAAGGGGCCAAAAGGACCTTAGAAACCCATGCCTCACACATTCTCAGAAAGACAATGCACCTAGGAATTAATGAACCATTCTGTACCTTAACCGACTAGGTTCAGTCATCATCTGGAATGCCTTCTGGGGGCCGGGTAGGCCTAGGGGTTGAAGTCACCTGTGCTCAGAGATACACTCCTTAGTTGCCGGAGTGGGGCTCTCAAATCCATATGTCTCTCCTTTGTCGGCCTCCTTAGCTGGCAAGTGTATGAGGCTATCCTTCCTGTAAATAGAGGAGTCTCCATAGGGGATGGCAAGGGCTAGATGTAAGGCCGCACAGTTTCTTGCGGAACCTTATTTTCTTTCCTAATGGTTCTTTTCCCAGGGGGCCTGTCGAGGGCAATTCCCCAATCGACTGAGACAATACCCCAGGTAGTCTTAAGGCCAAATTACCTACAAGCGGGAGTCCAAGAAGCTTCACTGTCGGTGGGTTGCCTTGCAGTCACCAATCCGTCCACAGGCTGGGCCTTGCCATCAGGCTGGGATAGCTCGGCTTCCAGCAAAAAACAATAATAAGAGAATATTATGAGCGATTATATGCCAATAAAATGGGCAATCTGGAAGAAATGGACAAATTCCTAGAAGCATATACACTACTGAAACTGAAACAGGAAGAAATAGAAAATTTGAACAGACCCATAACCAGTAAAGAAATTGAATTAGTAATCAAAAATCTCCCAAAAAACAAGACTCCAGGGCCAGATGGCTTTCCAGGGGAATTCTACCAGACATTTATGGAAGAGTTAACACCTATTTTCTTGAAGCTGTTCCAAAAAATAGAAATGGAAGGAAAACTTCCAAACTCTTTCTATGAGGCCAGCATTACCTTGATTCCAAAACCAGACAGAGACCCCACTAAAAAGGAGAACTTTAGACCAATTTCCCTGATGAACATGGAATGCAGAACTCCTCAACAAGATATTAGCCAACCAGATCCAACAATACATTAAAAAAATTATTCACCATGACCAAGTGCTATTTATACCTGGGATGCACGGCTGGTTCAGTATCTGCAAAACAATTAACTTGGTTCATTGCATCAATAAAAGAAAGGACAAGAACCATATGATCCTCTCAATAGATGCAGAGAAAGCATTTGACAAAATACAGCATCTTTCTTGATAAAAACCTTCAAGAAAGTAGGGATAGAAGGAGCATACCTCAAGATAATAAAAGCCATATATGAATGACCCAATGCTAATATCATCCTCAATGGGGAAAAACTGAGAGCTTTCCCCCTAAGGTCAGGAACAAGACAGGGATGTCCACTCTCGCCACTGTTATTCAACCTAGTATTGGAAGTCTTAGCCTCTGCAATCAGTCAACACAAAGAAATAAAAGGCATCCAAGTCGGCCAGGAGGAGGTCAAACTTTCACTGTTTGCAGATGACATGATACTCTATATGGAAAACCTAAAAGATTCCATCAGAAAACTGCTAGAACTGATTCATGAATTCAGCAAAGTTGCAAGATATAAAATCAATGCACAGAAATCGGTTGCATTCCTATTCACTAACGATGAAGCAACAGAAAGAGAAGGAATCAATCCCATTTACAATTGCACCAAAAACCATACAATACCTAGGAATAAATCTAACCAAAGAGGTTAAAAATTTATACACTGAAAACTATGGAAAGCTTATGAAAGAAATTGAAGAAGACACAAAAAAGTGGTAAAAGATTCCATGCTCTTAGATAGGAGTGAAAAATATTGTTGAAATATTGATACTACTCAAGGCAATCTACATATTCAATGCAATGTCTATCAAACTAACACCAACATTCTTCACAGAGCTAGAATAAATAATCCAAAAATTTGTATGGAACCAGAAAAGACCCTGAATAGCCAAAGCAATCTTGAAAAAGAAAACCAAAGCAGGAGGCATCACAATCTCGGACTTCAAGCTATACTACAAAGCTGTAATCAGTAAGACAGTATGGTACTGGCACAACAACAGACACTCAGATCAATGGAACAGAATAGAGAACCCAGAAACAGACCCACAAACGTATGGGCAACTAATCTTTGACAAAGCAAGAAAGAATATCCAATGGAATAAAGATGGTCTCTTCAGCAAGTGGTGCTGGGAAAACTGGACAGCGACATGCAGAAGAATGAACCTGGACCACTTTCTTACCCCATACACAAAACTAAACTCAAAATGGATGAAAGTCCTCAAAGTAAGCCATAAAAGGAAGCCATAAAAATCCTTGAGGAGAAAGCAGGCAAAAACCTCTTTGATCTTGGCCGCAGCAACTTCTTTTTTTTTTTTTTTTAGTTTTCTTTTTCAACGTTTATTTATTTTTGGGACAGAGAGAGACAGAGCATGAACGGGGGAGGGGCAGAGAGAGAGGGGGACACAGAATCGGAAACAGGCTCCAGGCTCTGAGCCATCAGCCCAGAGCCTGACGCGGGGCTCGAACTCACGGACCGCGAGATCGTGACCTGGCTGAAGTCGGATGCTTAACCGACTGCGCCACCCAGGCGCCCCGGCCGCAGCAACTTCTTACTCAACATGTCTCCAGAGGGAAGGAAACAAAAGCAAAAATGAACTACTGGGACCTCATCAAAATAAAAAGCTTCTGCACAGCAAAGGAAACAGTTAGCAAAACTAAAAGGCAACCCACAGAATGGCAGAAGATATTTGCAAATGGCACATCAGATAAAGAGTATCCAAAATCTATAAACAACTTTTCAAACTCAACACCCAAAAAGCAAATAATCCAGTGTAGAAATGGGCAAAAGGCATGAATAGACACTTCTCCAAAGAAGACATCCAGATGGCCAACCGACACATAAAAAATGCTCCACATCACTCATCATCAGGGAAATACAAATCAAAACCACAATGAGATACCACCTTACTCCTGTCAGAATGGCTAAAACTAACAACTCAGGCAACAACAGATGTTGGCGAGGATGCGGAGAAAGAGGATCTCTTTTGCATTGTTGGTGGGAATGCAAGCTGGTGCAGCCACTCTGGAAAACAGTATGGAGGTTCCTCAAAAAAATTAAAAACAGAACTACCCTACGACCCAGCAATTTCATTACTAGGTATTTATCCAAGGGATACAGGTGTGCTGTTTCGAAGGGACACATGCACCCCAATGTTTATAGCAGCACTAGCCACAATAGCCCAAAGTAGGGAGCCTAAATATCTATTGACTAATGAATGGATAAAGAAGATGTGGTATATATTACACGATGAAATATTACTCAGCCATCAAAAAGAGTGAAATCTTTCCATTTGCCACAATATGGATGGAGCTAGAGTATTAAGCTAAGTGAAGTAAATAGAGAAAGACAAATATCATAGGATTTCACTCATGTAATTTAAGAAACAAAACAGATGAACATATGGGAGGTGGGGGAGAAAGAGGCAAACAAACCACAGGAGACTTTTAATGATGGAGATCAAATTGGGGGGTGTTGATGGAGGGAGGAGAGTGGGGGTGGGTTAGATGGGTGATGGGTCCTCAGGAGGGTACTTGTGATGAGCACTGAGTGTTGTGTTGTATTTAAGTGATGAATTACTGAATTCTCCTGAAACCAAATGCCCTGTGTGCGAAACCAAACTAACTGGAATCTAAATAAAAATTTGAAAAAAAAAATTGTGGTGGGCTGGTATTAGAGACTACACTTACTAAGGTCACTGTTCAAGATCAGTATGTTAAAGATCCTTAACACACACCATTACACTGATTTTTTTATTTAGGTGTTGTGGATTATGTCCGTGTGACATCTTCCCTCTTTTTACCCATAACCTGTCAAAGGTTCAGTGCCAGAAAGAACAGAAATACATCTTTATTTTCTCATCGCATCCTCTCTTGAATAGATAATACTTCCATTGCTCTCTTTCCAATTTGGCTTCGAGTCACTGCTGTGATTGAGCAGTTGACTCAGTTGAGTAAGTTGAACAGTCTTTCAAGTTAGAAGTTAGTATTCTGGTTAAGTAAAAAAAAAAAAATTGTGAGACTGCCCATCTTACCAGTGTAGCTAAGGTAGTTTTTACTAAATCAGTTATTAGGGCCATGTTGTGAGAGGCATGTGACAATTGCATTTCACACATCTTTCCTAAATAGTGTTTCTCGAATTTATTGGAAATTTAATACTCCTGGTACTGAGGTTCTGAGGTTAGTGAAACCAATCATGTCTCAAGTTCAGTAAACCACATTTGTGCTATTTAATATTTTAAAAGAAAACTTAAACAGTTTTAGTCTGTCTTTACTATTTTTGCCTTACCTGATTGAATTTTGCTCTTGTGTTAATTAATAAGTTCATAGGAAATGTTCTAATTAGTTTCTGTCATAACTAGGAACCATAATAAGTTAGAGTACTTTGGAAAGCATGATAACACCTGCTCACTAGTAAATATCAATTCTTGGTCTGGCTCTTTTCCAGTCTTGCTAACTGTGTCTAAATGTGTGAACCTCTTACCATCTGCGTACTTCAATTTTCCTCTAAATTAAAAAAAAAAAAAAAAAGTCTTACCTGTATTCTATCCAGTTCAGAGTTTTGAAAGACAACGAGAGGTCATTAAAGTGTAAAATCCCTAACTGTTGAGAAAACCATTGGCTTTAAAATATACTGTTGTGAAATAGTAATATGCTATTTAAAGACCATGGACTCTTACTGTACTTCGTTGCTTAGTCTAAGACCTCTATTTTCAGAATGCAGTGTATTTGAAGACGAGTTTTACTGTTGAATTTGACAGGCCTGGCACAAGGCCAATCTCATGAGCCCAAAGGGAGAGTTTGCAGAAAACGCAGGTTGAAGGAGCCATAGAATTGACTTTCCATGAAGTCTAGGCTTATCCATGTTCATTCCTGTGGGTGGGAGATTTGCTGAAAGTTGACTGTTTTCTTCCTTCCATACCATCTGATTCCAATCTGTACTTGTCTTTTATAGCTAGAGACGGTCGGATGGCAGCTTAACCTTCAGATGGCTCACTCTGCCCAAGCGAAACTAAAATCTCCTCAAGCCGTGTTACAGCTGGGAGTGAGTGGTGAAGATTCAAAGGTAAGAAATGGTACCTCAGTGAAATGCTGCATTTTGTTTCCCAGGTAGGTCTTGTACTTTATTGTGAGCAGTCTCTGCCCCCTGGATTGAAATTTTAAACACAATTAAATTAAAATTCAACAAGGATTAACAAATGGCTAGATCTTTGTGACAGGTTTTGAGAATCAGAGTTACTTATCCCTTTGTTATTCATTTGAAGAAATGTCTTGCACGAGCATTTCATAACCTCTTCTTTTAAATTCTGCAGTGGGAAAACTTGGTAATAGCCATATAAAATTAAGATTTTAATGATTTAGATATTTGTGGATATTTGTAGGTGTTTTGTGTTTTAAGATGCTTACATATAGTAGAAGGAATTTTGTTTTCTAGCCAATGCCTGCATTACCAAGATGATGTGAATTGTGTTTGTGTGTGTGTAACACTAGCGTGCATGAGTTTAAATCCCAGCTGTTGCAAAATTGAATTTTGGATTCGTTTATACTGCGTGATGATTTCTTTTTTAGCGTTAATTTCAGGAAGCTTGAACATCTTATCAAAGTTAAAAGAGTTGGTATGGAATTTTTTTTTTTTTTTTTACTGTAGCGTATAGAGAAATATATATTTAAGATAGCAGGGAAAGATACTTGTTTTCTTTTTATTGTAATCGATTACCTTTTTAAGATGGATAAAGGGGAGTGACTTTTTCCCCCTAAATAAAGGAGACTTTGCATCTTTTTAACACAGAGAGGTGAAAATCAGGAAGATCTGAGGAAAGAGAGGTAACTATGACTGGATGTAATCAGAGAATAATTGGAGAAATGTTATTGTTTAAAATGGGCATTGAAGGATGAGAGCAGTATTACTTCTTTGTTAGAACTTTCATCATGTGTTATATATCATGCGCATTTTTATCTTCCATGGTAATGGGGACCAGTACGTAGCCCAGGTTAACAAGTCTATAAAATTTTAGGCAATTGAGTTGGGTCTCACTGTATATAATTTATTAATTCATTCAGTGTTTCAAAAGTATTGCATTTCACACATTTTAAGTTGATGAATACAGTATAAATAACAATAATATATAAAATAATATAAGTTTAGTAGTTAAGAGTTGAAGTAACTGGTATATTATGTATGCTCTACAATTTAGAAGTGGTGTAGCTTTGGGCAAGTCACTTCATCTTTATGACTATCAGCTTCTTCATCTGTAAACCGGGGATAACATTACCTGTCGCACGGGGTTACCCAGTGTATGGAGTGCTTATTTAGTCCGATGCCTAGTGTTAGGTAAATGCTTAAAAAATGCAGGCTGCTGCCATTTTCATCATCATCGGCAGTAAAACTTATTTTTGGCTAATGAATAAATAAATGCCTTTGTTTTAAACCAAAGCTGACAGTGAATTTTTTCCTGATGAAATTAATCATTTCCCTTTCCTTGCCCTCTTCTGCCTTTTTAGTTCTCAATCTTCTTTTTCATATCTATGCTTACTGAGACCTCGGGAGGGGAAGGGCAGCCTGGAAAGCCTGATGTTTTCTTACAGTGAACTAGGGAAGACATTCCTTTAGGTTTGGGATAACAGTCTGGAACTCACTAGTTCCAGTGTAGACTGGAACTATTCTGAGTGAAGACACACACGCGTACGTATGTGCAGATGTACATACACACATTCGTATGTTCTCCAAGTGGCTGTACGCCTTCACTGTTGCATTTCTCTGGACTGTCATACGTTAAGTCTGAGTAGGTAAATGGAATTGATAGGCTGGAAGGAAACTGTTGTGACCGTATATATGGGGTGTACTTCAAGCATCATCGTGTAGGCAGTGGTGGACCTTGGGATGCCTGAGTCCTTCCGGCTCCTTTATTATGTCTTCAAAATACGTTTATATGTCAGTTCTATGTTGAGACAGTAGGAATGAATGAGTAATACTTCTAGTAAAAGAGTCATGTTTTTAATCCATGTTACTCAGAAAATCTCTACAGATGTGAAATCCAGCTCACTGGGAGATAGAACCTGGAGTACATTTGTATCTCCCTGTGTGTTGCTATTTTGAAGTTTTGAACGAGTGTTTGGTTATCCATACAACTTGTAGAGCTGGAGAACCATTTGCATCGACAAACAGACGATGCAAAGAAGAGCAGCGGCCTACAAAGGAAAAGGATATTTTCTTTTTTTTTTTTTTTTTAAGTTTGTTTATTTTGAGAGAGAGACAGAGCATGAGCAGGGGAAGGGCAGAGAGAAGGGGAGACACAGAATCCCAAGCAGGCTCCAGGATCTGACCTGTCGGCACACAGCCTGATGCAGGGCTCGAACCCATGAGCCGTGAGATCATGACCTGAGCCAAGATCAAGTGTTGGATGCCCAACAGGCTGAGCCACCCGAGCACCCCGATATTTTCATTTTGGTGCAGACTTAAGTGCACCTCTTTCCCTTGTATTTCCTCTCTTTCCCATGGCATTGTGTGGATTTGACCTGTTTCTCATATCTGCTAAAGAAGAGACACGTAATGGAGCGTATCACAGCTGTCAGCCTGGACAGACACCTGCCATCTCCAAGCGCTGTGTGTCCCAGCTCCAAGGAGCAGTTAACCACCACACCTCTGTTCTCTCAGTGAACTGCTGTTGGGAAGATTTACTTTTTCTTCTTTTCATAATCTCCCTCTCTGTTTTTGTGATCTGGTACTCTGTTCTTTGTACTCGTGTGAGACTTTGGGAATTCTTGACAGGTGGGAATATTAGATGAAAGGAACAGGAATATGGAACATGTTTTAAAAACCATGTTTGTTAAAAGAAAGAACTTTTTCTAAAAAATTTTTAAGTTTGTTTATTTGACAGAGAGAGAGAGAGAAAGCAGGGGAGGGGCGGAGAGAAAATCCCAAGCAGGCTCTGTGCTGATAATACAGAGTCTGATATGGGGCTCGAACTCAAAAACTGTGAGATCATAACCTGAGCCGAAACCAAGAGTCAGACGCTTAACCAACTGAGCCACCCAGGCGCCCAAGAAGGGAGAAGTTTTATTGAAAACAATGACAAGTTATCACTGGTTAGTGTATGATGGAAAGTATCATAGAATACAGAGTTGCCATATTATGAAATTGGCATTTGTTTAAAAAGCAGAAAGCGTGAAATAAAATTCTTTTAAGTGAGTATGTTAAAGGGTATTTTTCCTGAAAGTATTCATGTATTAAAATAATTCTGAGAGGGGTACCTGGGTGGCTCAGTCAGTTCAACATTTGACTCTTGATTTTGGCTCAGGTCATGATCTCACGGTTTGTGAGATCGAGCCCCACGTTGGGCTCTGTGCTGACAGAGTGGAGCCTGCTTGGGGTTCTCTGTCTCTTCTTTCTCCCCTGCTGTCTCTCTCAAAATAAGTAAACTTAAAAAAAATTCTGAGAGGGTTAGTCAGTGAACATTATGAGAGACTCTTTTGATGGTGTTTACTTTTGAGCTGCTGAGCTGAAAACTTCCTGCAGTTCATCAAAGTGTGTGGTTTCTAAAAGTCTTTCTTCTCATTCACTTCCAACATACACATGAAAAGCGTAGCCTGCAGTGAAGTTCTAATTGCTATCACATTAGATAGCACTGTTGCACTCGTGTCCTTTCTCTTGGAACGTTCCTGTCTCAAGGCTTTCCTGTTTTGCTACTAATTTTATCATGAAAACTGGGCGATTGTAGCTTCTCTTGCAGTATTTTGATTTATATATTCTAGTTGTTTGCAGTTAATTGTCTTAGTGTTTGTCTACTGCATTTAGCAAAGTAAGATTATTTTCCTGTTCTGAGATACATCAGAAAGAGGGTTTTTTGGTTTTTTTTTTTTTTTGGTTTATTTCATTAGAGGGCAGTAGAGCTCTTTGCTTACCTAACCTCTGGCACTTAACAGTGTTATTTGAAATAACATTCAAAATAATTTGTGGAGTCAGTAGTTGTGGGAAATGCTAAGTGTTCACATTTCTAATCTGTATATAACAATAGAGTTCTCTTGTTTCCATCAAGAAAATTAATGCCTATTAATCAGATATGTACAGAACAAATAAATGAAATCATCATGATTTCATTGTTTGTTAGTTTCTCTGATTATTTGCCAAAATGAAGTTTATTAAAAAGCCTTCAACACTATTGACTATTTTTGTAACATTCTGTCGCTTGTACTAATTTCTTTGTGAGAAAAGACAACACAGTAATCCCAAGATAGTTGAATGGCTCTAGTATAACTACTTCCAGGCTAATCATAGTTGACATTTCTTTATTTATAGAGAATAGCAATTTTATACTTAACAAATGTTGATAATTTTGAATATTCCAAGCACCTTAACTTTAAATATCCTAAAAACACTAAAATACTTAAATTTTGCTCTTGGTTGTGCATTATTATGTTTCCCCCAGTAACTTTGCACTTCTGAGACAATCACGTTTTGTTAGTACAGTGACTCTAAAATTTTTTGGTACATCTTTTAAGAAAGAATCTTGGTGTTTCATTCGTTTCTTCTTTTGAAACAACTGGGATAAAATCGCCGTGGAAGGGAACTGTCATTTACCTTAAGGTTAAATTGGATTATGCTCAGGTTGCACAAGGTACTTTGTGGTGGGTAATTACGATTTCAAGTGAATTTAGGACTTTAAGTACTAATTTGTTGAGTTAGAGATCTTCATTCTTATTTCCAAAATGGGTGACAAATTCTATTTCGAGTGAAGAAAAAGGAGGGAAAGCCCTGTTTTAGTGCTTATTCTGTGCTAGACATGGTATCTCCTCCTTTACTTCTGGGGTGCCTGGGTGGCTCAGTCAGTGCAGCTCAGGTCATGGTCTCATGGTACGAGTGAGTTTGAGCCCTGCGTGGGCTCTGTGCTGACAGCTCGGAGCCTGGAGCCTGCTTCAGAGTCTGTGTCTCCCTCTCTCTCTGCCTCTTTCCTGCTCACACTCTGTCTCTTTCTGTCTCTCAAAAATAAATAAACATTAAAAAAACATTTTTTTTTTTTAGATAAAATACTTCTTTCACAGTTACCTGGGTGGCTCAGTTGGTTAAAC